AAAAAAAAAAAAAAAAAAAAAAAAAATCTAGAGCCTAACCCCACTTCAGGGATGAAAGCTTGTAATGAATAAAGTAGGAGATTGAAAAATAATTATTCTACAAAAGATTGAACTGCGGTATGAAAACCTCAGATAGTCTAGAGTTTGCAAATAGCTAATAATAATAATAATAATAATAACAGTCACAAGGTATATTTGTTAGGTGTATATTTGACGTCTGAATTGAGCTAAATAGCTACATGCTTTAGCTCATGCAATATTGACAACCACGCTATAAGGCTGGTGCTACTGCTATCTCTGTTTTATAGTTGAGGAAACCAAGGCAGGGAAAATTTAAATGATTTTGTACAGGTAGTGAGATAAAAGTACTTTTAAGTCCAGGTAGTTTTTCTCCTGATGGTTTTTCCTTTCACTGGAGAGAGAACTGTCATGTTAGTACACACAGCTTAATAATCTCAAGGGCTAAAACAGAAGACATTAAATCAAAGGGTAGATGAGAAATCTAAGCGGCAGCCCCAAGAGGAAACACTCAACCTATCAGCACCCAGGTAGAGCAATGCTCTTTTAAAAATGCCAAAATTAGCCCTCAGCAAGAAATCTCTCCAGTGGCCATGTATGTACATTTTTGGTTGGAGCATCCAAGACTAAAAGGCAGAGTCATCGATCGCATGTGGCTATTACCGACTGTAACTTAAGCTGTTCTGGTTTGGTGAAAATAAAGGATAAGAAAAGAAACCATCTGTAAATCTGACCTGCAGCCCCAGCTCTCTATCATGGTCCTTGAAATGATGTTTTTGGTGAAAGAAGGCAAACAGTATCATCTCTCTCAAGGAGATGAAATCAAGACATCGTTAATTTCAACATATTTTGTTTTGTCTTCATTTTTAAATCAGGATGAATGGCTTTTTAACTTCAGCTAGACTTGGTGGTTTGGGAGCATGCCAAATGTCCACTAAGTAGGTGCAGATGTTCAAAGTTTGAGGAAGGGTTGAGTTCGGGAGGGCAAGGGTGAAATTCCATGGTCTTGGTGGAAGACTGCTAGCTGTCCTGGTGGCCATTCTCATTTTCTTCATTTTTTAACTAAGCACACAGCCATCTAAATTCAAGTGTACATCTCCCTTGCTGTGACTTGGCCATAGCAATAATTTCTGGCCAATGTGACACCAACTAAGAGCCTTCCGCCCTTCATCACCACCACTACCCCTTGCTGCCTGGAATTAGATCTTAGGCCTTGAGGTAAAAAAAGACCCCGTCAAAAAATGGGCAAGTGAAATGAATAGACCTTCACAGACAAAGTACAAATGGCCAATGAATACATGAAGAAATGCTCACCATCACTGGCCATTAGACAAAAATGCAAATTCAAACAACACTGAGAGTCTAGCTCACACTGGAAAAAATGGCCACCATCAAGAAATCAAGTCATATAAATATTGGCAAGGCTGTGGGAAGAAAGAAGCCTTCTTCACTGATGGTGGGAGTATAAACTATAAAAATCAGCATGGACATTCCTCAAAAAACTAAAGCTAGAAATTCCATTTGACTCAGCTATTCCCCTTCTAGGTGTCTAACTGAACACATCATATTACAGTGATCCGCACATAGCTATATTTACAGCAGCCAATTCATAACAGCTAAATCTTGGAAGCAGCCTATATGTCTATCAACAGGTGAATGGGTAAAGAAAATGGAGTACTACTCTGCCATAAAGAAAGATAGACCAAAGTCATCTGTAGGCAAATGGATGCACCTTGAAACGATAATGTTAAGTGAAATAAATCAGACACACAACCTTAAATATTACCTGGTTATGCTTATAAGAGAATTCCAATTTATAAATAAAGAGCAAAATAAAAGATCCATAACAGGAAATAGGGAGATAGATATTTCTCAAACTGGAAGTGAGTAAGAGTTGGAGGGAGGGAGATGGGAAGGAGAGGAAAGGGATGAAAAATGAGTTAAGAGGCATGATGCTCATGCACCAACTCCACACAAGGACTGTAAACACCATGCCCTGCAAACACGGACTAACAAGAAAGACTCCAGATCTGAGACAGCAAAGGGCCGCTACAAGAGAAAGAAGCTAGGTTACTCCATGAAGCCCAGGCAGCCTCCTGGATTTTTACATGAGAGATAAAATTCTATCTTGTTTAGCCATTATGACTCTGGAGACTCCGTCCACAGCAGCCTCACTCTGCACTAAGGGATATAAAACTATTTCCCAGTGTACAGATGTTGCTTTTCTCCAGCAAAGCGTACCACTTCTCCATTTTCCCCAAATAAAAAATAAAAGCTGGAATGCAGTTTTGTGGTGCTAACATCTAGTCTTCATGTTCCTTTCATGTTGTGCAATATTGTTACCTCTCCTTAAAGAAAGAACATATGAGCCGCTGTGAAATACTAACTGGCTACGGCCCCTGAAGGAGAAACAGATGCACAGAAGCCCTGAGCAGAGCCATCATCAAATGAAGTTTCCTTGTTCTCATCCAGAGTTCTAAAATTGGAAGTTAAAATACATTCAGTTAATTTTTTTTCTTTGTTCTCTAGGCCCAAGTGATTTCCAGTCTCCTGTGTTTCCAGATCTGGGTTCTTACAGGCATAGCAGGGGTATGGAAAAAGCCTGGGGCTTCCGATTCAGATGGATTAGGGTTTGAACCCTTGACTGCACAGCTGGGAGTTTGGGCGAGTCACCTAACCCAGGGAGCCTCTGTCTCTGTATCTGAACAAGAACAAGCGGAAACGCTATTGGACTGTCCCGGGGGTTAGAGGGTTAGAGATGAAGTAAGTGAAGCCTACTCTCACAACTGGGAATGTTCCACAATCTTCAGCAGTTTCTAAGATGACTCCCTGCCTCTCAGCACAGGGGCTGTGTTGGTTCTTCTTTTGTATTTCCCAGGGACCCAATGCAGGGTCACACACAGTAGGTCGCCACTGTACAAAACCAGTTCCTATTGGATGAAAACAAGTAATCCTGGTTCCTTTCCTGCCCAGAATTTTTAAATTATCTACAAGATTTGAAAAATGTCATCTATGCCTTGAGGGAATCCACAGGTTCATGTAATGCACCTCTAGAATTCAAGGCCAAGGTCAGAAAGTATGACTTTCTGAAGCCAGCATGAAATTTAACATCAATTGTCAGATTAGCTACCAAAGAATATAACACACCCTTAAAGGAGGCTTTGTGAATGAGTACATT